TTACTTCTAGTAACAAGAAGCTACTAGTAGCAAGGTGAATCGCTACTTGGAGCAAGAAGCTACTAGTAGCAAGGGAACAGGTGGATTCAGACCAGGAAAAGGACAGCACTAGCGGACCCACACAGCCCCACCGACAGCCTACTGCAATGCCAAAACCCCAACGCCTAAGATTTGATGCCTGCAGGCTCCAGCTCCAGCGTCACCCTTCTGAGCCGAAGTGACCGCTGGTATTTGGCCCGGTCAGAGTCCGGCACGGAAAAAGAGAGCAAGAGGGGTTTCTGAATGTTGCTGAACATGTTTCTGACGTCACTCAATTTTCTGTTTTGTCACACGATTCTTTCCGCTGATGGTCATTCCTGATTCCTAGTCAGCAAGTAGCCAAAGTAGCCACACCTTGGGATTACCCCGGCAGCCTGGCGATCTTTCGATACCTAACAAGATCAGAAAGTGTCACGTTTTCGCAAGCGTTCCAATATGCTTTGCAATGGGTACTTCCTCTTCATGTGCCGTACAGGGCATAGACGTTTCAGTCGGAACGACAGGTGGAAAAAGATGGTGGGCTGGCATTGCCCTCAACGGAAAGCTGTACGGACTTCCATGTAATGCAGAGCACCTGCTGGTGTTGGACCCATCTTGTGACGAGCCTGTGCAATTGATCGACACCAAGCGAATTGCCACAGGTGAGGGGAAGTGGCGTTCCACGGTGGCAGTGGGTGGCAAACTCTATGGCATTCCAGACAGAGCAGAAGCAATGCTTGTCTATGACTTTGTGTCAAGACAGGTTTCTGGCATTGACACACGAAAGCTGTCAAGGGGGCCTTTCAAGTGGCAATCTGCTGTGGTTTTAGCAGGGAAGATCTATGGGATTCCACACCATGCAGACAAGCTTTTGGTTTTTGATCCCAAAAGCAGCAAAGATTCCAAGACTCGAGGCTATCCCAGTAGCAAAGTCGAGTCTGTGACCGGCGTTGATACCACTCACGTAGCAGTAGGAAAATCAAAGTGGCTTGCAGGTGTAAGCCTTGGCGGCAAAGTGATTGGAATTCCATGCAATGCCGATGCTTTGTTGGTCTACGACCCCTTGAACAATGCCTGCAGCGGCGTGCCTATAAGCTATCATGCAACAGGTCCTTTCAAGTGGCTTTGTGCGGTGGCTTTGCAGGGGATCTTGTATGCTTTACCCTGCCATGCCGATTGTGTTTTGGTCTTTGACCCTTCCAACAATCGCGTGTCTCATGTCGACACATCTTCGATTTCTGTTGGACCTGGAAAATGGGTCTCTGCTGTGGCTTGCCATGGGAAGATCTATGGCATTCCAGATCATGCCAAGGCTGTCTTGGTCTTTGATCCAAAGTCTCAGGCAAGGCTTTTGATGGGTTGGCAGACCTCTCTGTGCTCACATGTTTTCTCAATGTTTTCACTTGTGTTCAAAACATGTTTTTTACGCCACAAGAGCCAACATGAGCCAACTTCTGTGCTTTGTTTGGGCGAAACGCAGGAGGTCTCAGGCATTGACATCAGTCATTTGTCGGATGCCACGAGCAAATGGCAGTCTGTGGCAGTGCTGGGCAGCAAGATCTATGCAGTCCCGTACAATGCGCACCTTGATTTGGAACAAGGAGAAGGGATCATTATGGAGATCTGCATGCAAGAAGCATAGGAATATCCTGCATATAGCCTATAGATCTTAAGGCTTTCCAATGAAGCAAGATGCCTGTAAATTTGCCAGCTGCGCCAGCTGGCCTCAGGCACGATATTCTGGTGATTGATACGTCAGCATGCATGGCCTCCAGTGTCGATGTGCGCAGTCTTGGAAGTGGTCCTGGTAAATGGGGCTTTGCAGCAGTCGTAGGTGGCAGAGCTTCAACCATGCATTTAGAACCAAATTTAATGTGATACACATTTTTGTGCCTGACTCATAGAAGTCGCTGCGGTCCAAAGTCTGAGATGGACAGATAAGAGCTCCAGAACCTGGGCATGAACTCTCGTCCTCACAAGTAGAAAAGAGCACCAGCAAGCAGCGCAAGCAGCGCATCATAGGGAATCATTCTACAGCCTTGTCAGGTGGATGCTTATGCGGCCTCCCTTGGGATGCGGCGAATGTCCTGATTTATCGCCCAGAAGTGGTCGAGGACGGAGCGAAGATTAAAGCGATATTTCCGCTGACTCTCTCGCTTTTTACTGGGAAACCCACATTTGGAGAGAGAAACGTATCACATGGATTCACATGGATCATGATGGATCATCTACAGATTCCTGTAGTCATCTCGTTTCAAGTGTCCAAAAGCTTCACGTGTGCATGCTGCATATGTGTGACGTTGCTAGAAGTTGTTAAGACTGCTTTTGGAACTGGCAAGCTTTAAGCAGGTCAGGGCTTCCGCATTCATGCAGCTGTCTCTATTCCTTTTTTCGAGGATACTCCAACCAACCAGGAAGAGACCGATGTTTCCAAGGGCGATCTTGAAGAGGCCGAGAATCGGTTCCCCTTTGCAAGGGGGACGGCCCCGTTTGAGTGTCTCGAAACTTATGAAACATCGATCTTATGCTGCTTGGTTTTCAATGATTTGCAGGCCTCTGACCCAAATGAACGTGGTTTTAGCGGAGTACCAGACATCTCTCCAGACCTTGGGGAGTCCCTCATTCAGGAGCGGAGGTAAACCAATTCACGGATGAATCACATTGAATCGCGCATATATGATATGATGATACCATGGGGTTGCCCCCAAAGATATAGGCCAACACAGGACCACAGGGGTATGAAGCTTAAGCTACCAGTGTAGAAGTATGTATAGAAGTTTTATGATTCATCCCTGAGCTTTTTTACATGCATTTCGAAAGGAGTGCTGTGTGGTGCAGCCTAAAGCATCAACACCTCGGCAAGCAACACACAATAGCAATGCAGTCCACCTGTACAGGTCAACAAACTGGAGACCACAGTCTTTCGTTGACGAGAGCAGAGAACACTTTGAGTGCCAGGAATCCGTGGTCTCAAAAGGGGATGCTTTGACAAAATTCATTCAAAGCTAGATGGCCTAAATTAGAAGACGGACCTGCAAAGTTTGCTGGGGGTGCAGGCTACTGCGGGTGCAGGTTTGACTTGTCAGCTCGTGCTGTGCTTGTGCTTAAAGCAGCCTCTGATTTTGCACCACAGCACTGGTGTGGCACACCATGTGAGTGAATTCCCAGGTAGCGCCGAAGGCTGCAGATACTCCGAGAAAGCCTCGTATCGCAGAGGTTGATATCGTGGTGGCAACTGCGGAAAAGGCTCCCGTCTCTTCAAATGCTTTGGTTCCTTGCTGCTGCGATTTCTGGGCGCTGTACCCAAGACTTGCGACCTCCCTTCCGCTAATAAACCTGCAGGTGCTCGGACCACGGAACTTGCCAAGAACTTGAGAACATTGCCGAAAGAAGAACCCATGGTCAGATGCAAGCCTGCTCAAAGATCTCAAAGGGGGGTGGTGTTCGCGGGCCAAATTACTACACAAAAGACTCCTCGGCGGCAGCCGCGTGTCTGCTGCTGCTGCTGTTGCTGCTGGGGACGTTCGTGTTCACGTCGATGCATCTGCAATTTGCATGGGCCCTCGGCCGGATGTTTGTTTTTTCATCTCGGCGGTCTTCGAATCCAAGCGTTTTCCGTTGTCCATCTCGATCATTTTGCACCTTCTTGCACATGTGGCAGCATGGGGATGGCAATCGCCACGATATTCTTCCGAGCGCGTTCAAGGCCGTAGAGACGCGGGGCAAGACAATTGCTGAGGAGGACGGCCAAAACAGCGAGACTCAACCTGGGCAAGGTTGAGACGACTGCTGCGCGGGATGCCCGATAAAGATCGAACAAAGCGTCGCTTTTGCGAACACAAAGCAAGCGCGCACTGAAGAGACACATGAGGAAACCAAGACCTTGCTGGAATTCTTGCAGGGTCTGAAGCACGACAATGCCGATGTGGGCAGCACGGGATTGGCGTGGCATGGTAGCAATGTGCACCAAACTAGCCAAAGGAGAGGAAACTTCCAAGCCGGTCGATCGCCAAGTGCATTTTGGCTACATAAATATCAATTATTGGTTTGCGCCGTCTACATGCGTTTGATTTGTTTGCCTGTTTGGGCTGTGGTCTCGGGACCTGCCGTGTCAGATTGGCTTTTCATGGCTTTTGCAGGTGCAGGCGCATGGAAAATTGCAACATGCGTCACGCACTTTTGTTCAACACCTTCATTCCTACAGTGGTGGGTGTGTTTTTGCACCACCCCCCAGAAGCCAGGACTTTGTCGGTGCATGGCTGAGTGAGTGGATATACTTCGCAGATCCGGGGAAGCCCTTTGCAGTGCCGATGATGAAGTTCCCGGAATGCAAAATTGTAAAGCCCAGCTTAATTGAACGGTGAGGCCACGGTTGCATTTTGTGAGCCGTGGAGTGAACATGGTTGAAAAGTAGACCAGCTGAGGGTCAATGGAACAGCTGTGAAGTTCCAGGCGGGCCACTAGACAGGCAAATAAAATTTGTCCAAAACGACACTTGTCATGGATGATTTGATCATTCAGGTTCACAGCGTCATGGATGACCCTTTGCAGGGGAGTCCTGCTCGTTCAGCAGTGGTCACCGCTTCGATACCGGGGTCATCAGCTGCCTGACAGAAGAGCCGAACACCTTCACCGGGCTCAAAACGCAAGAGTCGCTTGAGTTGGCGGAACAGACCACCAATCTTTGACAACTTTTCATACTGCGTTCTTGTTGCCCAGGTAGTATATCTCGTCTTCAAAGGTTCTTCCTTCATGAAACTCAATTGCACACTGTTGAATATGAGCATATCTCTTGATCTGATCCATTTCTTGCCTCTAATGCGATAATAGTACTGCGTAGAATCCATTTTTGCTGTGGGTTTGCCAGGAATGACTTTGTGGCCAATGCTTCGGTAAGTCCTGATTATACACCCTTCGATGCCACCTTCAATGACCGAACCACTTTCATCCACCATGGAGCTTATCATGCAACTCGGTACTTGCGGCAGCGTCCTTTGCGCTGTGTCCCTGACATTACGCCGGTGTGGGGAAGAGTTTGCTGAAGTGGATGCTGACCCAGGCGACAGCTCAATTGCGGGTACAGCAGTGGCCAGCTTTGCAGGAGTCCATGTCTCGTTGAACCAAAACAATAGAAAGATAAAAAGGTATCACCGGAAATACCTGAGTGATCTTCAATGATAGGAGCAAGGACGCTACTAGGGGCTCCTGGCCTTACTACTAGGATCAAGGACGCTACTTGGGGCTCCTGGCATCGCTACAAGGAGCATTCATTCTTGCTTCCAGTAACAAGAAGCTGATTTGCCAGGAGCAGCTGGAGCGATGTGTTCAAGACGGCGCATTTTGGCAGAGTTAAAGCCTCAAATACCACCAGTCAGTTGTGTGCCTTTTGACCAAGGTTGCGCACATGGTCATTACAGGGCATTCTCTTGGAGGGCAATACGTCCAATCCTCAGAATTCTCAAGACTTGCTCCAAACTGATGCTTGTTTTTACTTGTTTGAAGGGCGGGTAGGCCGCTAGTGGAGGTAGGTTAGATAGGTGGCTAGTATCTACAAGTAGCTATTTAAAGGCTTACGCCTAACAGCCGGGCGCCGGCCCACTAGGGTCTGTGTAGGGCTGGGTCGGGTGCACGTTAAGCTATCGGGGGCGTACTGGGCCCTAGGTTGGGCCAAGTTGGGCCCATGTGGTCTATGTCGGGCACATCTTGGGCCTATGTTGAGCCTATGTTGAGCCTATGTTGGCCTATGTTAGGCCTATGTTGGCCTAGGTTGGGCCTATGTTGGCGTATGTTGACCCCATGTTGCCCTATGTTGGCCCTATGTTGAGCCATCTTGGAGGCTATGTTGGGGATATGTTGGCTATCTTGGGCCTATGTTGGGGATATGTTAGGCAATTTAAATCGTCTGGAGGGCCTCTACCCACAAAATGTCGATCATGCCTGTCTGCCCGGCGCGCATTACCGACACCACCCTTGAAAAGCACAGTGTTTTTGCATTTCTCCATCTTCGCCGCGTCGCGCTTCGATATGCGCAATAAGCCCTGTAAAACACAGTGTTTTTTTAATACCTCACACACACGAAGCACCGTAAATTACAGGGGCTTCAGTGACCCGGAGGTGGGGAGGAAGTGGGAAGGGGGTCCGCCCGTTTTGGTGACGAGGGTCGGCGGCAGGGGGCGCGACCGTGGATCCGGCCAGGGGCCGGGAGGCCCCAAGGCCGTGTCCTTGCCGCAGGCCATCTCTCCTCTCCGTAGGAGAGAGGGGAGTCCTGCCCCGCCGCCGACAAGCTACCGCGTTTTACAATGTTTTTGGCTTGTCCCATTTTTCGGCTCTTGCGGCGCAAGATGGATCAACGTGGCCCAACATAGGCCCAAATAATGCTGGAAATGCATGCCGCACCGGGGTGCTTCGTCTGCATCGTAGGCGGATGCTGGGCTAACATGGGCCACATAACCCCAACATGGGCCAACATGGCCCCCAAGATGGGCCAACATGGCCCCTAAGATGGGCCAAGATAGCGCCAAGATGGGCTTACATAGTCCCCAAGATGGACCAACATAGCCCCAACATAGCGACAAGATGGGCTAGCGTAGCTCCCAAGATGCTCAGATACGCCAACCTCGACCCAAGCTGGGCCAACTAAGCAACAACAACAACAACAACAACAACAACAACAACAACAACAACAACAACAACCACAACCACAACCACAACCACAACCACAACCACAACAACAACAACAACCACAACCACAACCACAACCACAACCACAACCACAACCACAACCACAACCACAACCACAACCACAACCACACCACCACCAACAACAACACCACCACCAACAACAACAACAACAACGACCTTCGCGACCGCGCTCACGCCGCTCGTATCATATCTACCTCGCGGCCGACCCACGCGATCCGACCCGCGGAACCGCGCCCCCGCCCAGGACCCTGCCCACCAATTTTCTGCCGTTTCTACCCCCAAGATTCACCGTTCCCTACCGCCGACGTCGTCTACGCCCAGCTACCGCTCTTGGTCCTCCCGCTATACCTTAACTGCTACTGCTCCTTCTACTCCTCCATCCCCACAACGACCGTCGCTGCGCAACACCCATAACCACACCCACCACTACCACCAACGACAACTACAACAACAACTACCGCGGAAACAACACCAACCACAACAGCAACACGAGCAACAACGACAACTACAATGACAAGCGCACTACCACGACTGCAACAAGCCCTTTGCTTGGGCCCCTGGCCGGCTGTCGGGCGTAAGCCCTCAAATAACCTTCGGTTACCACCAAAGGCCCTCCGGGCAGGGCACGGGCTCCGTGGCCGGCGCCCGGATTTAAAGGCTTACGCCTGACAGCCGGGCGCCGGCCAAGCCGTGCCTGTGCCCAACATGCCTATGTTGGCGCACGTGGAGCCAGCTTGGAGGCTATGTTGGGCATAGGTTGGGGATATGTTGTGGCACGTTCCAGAGGCTGAATGGCTGCAGTCCACAGGCAGGCGAGTTGAGGCCCACAGAGCGATCCTGCTGCTCTGCAATTGCCCAAAACGGGCTGGCGCAGTTGTCGCTGGCACGTGCCAGGCGCTCCAAGGCTCCTGGCTGAGGCGCGCGCATTTCCGGGCGGGCAAACGACACCATCTATTTCTGCCCGGCTCGTCGCCTTCGGGAGTCCTGGGCACGTTCCAGAGGCTGACTCCCAAGGCTGCAGTCCACAGGCAGCCGAGGTGAGGCCCACAGACCAATCCTGCTGCTTTGCAGACTCCCCATATAGGCAGAAGGCAGCCGCAGCGGAGGGTTTCCAGGGTGGGCAAGCGGTCGGAATTGGGGGGGTGCAGCCAGCCAAAATGCCTAACGTTGCCTGGCACGTCGCCTGGCACGTCGCCTTCGGGAGCCCATAGAACAGTTGCCTGGCACGTTCCAGAGCCTGACTCCCAAGGCTGCAGTCCACAGGCAGCCACGAGGTGCCAATCCTGCTGCTCTGCAGACTGCCCAAAACGGGCTGGTGCAGTTGTCGCGTGGCACGTGCCAGGCGCTCCCACCCAAGGATCCCGGCTGAGGTGTGCGTATGCAGGCGCCACGGCGACACGCTCTGGATCTGCTTGGCCTGGGCAACTGTTTCACCTAGGCGTGAGCTAGGCAGGGGTCGGCGGATTAGCATGGACGCAGGATAGCTCACGCTTCCTTGAAGAAGCGCTCGCAGTAACGATTTGGCTTCTATATTTTTAGGGACCTTAAGTGTTCAGTAGTCAGACTCATTGCGTACCCTCGTCTAGGCCTTGGCTTTTATGCTGCAGGCAAGTCCATGCATCTCAGACTTTAACTACCTGTTCTGACTCGATTTGGATGTTTTGATATGTTCAGCCATGCTGTCGTTATATGTCGTTATTGTCTTCGGGACAAAGGCAAAGCCCTTGAAACTTTGTGACCAAGCGCGTTCCACATGTTGCTAATTGCTGTCAACTTGTCCTTCCAGGCGCTCAAAGCATCACTCACAGTGCGTTTCCTTTGGTTCTAATTAGACTCACTTCGCAGGTGTTCTTGGACGGAGTGAAGGGAACTTCGATTCACCCACTCCTGAAAGAGGCGGACATTTGACAAACGATTTGATCAACTTTGTGAACTTCATTCAACTGCATGGGAGAGTGACATAAGAATCACAAAAAACTCGATCACGGGTTCAATGGATATTCTGTAATTATAGGGAAGAAAGGTCTTGGTTTGCTTCTAGGAGCAAGAAGCTACTAGGGGTTCCTGGCATCGCTACTAGGAGCAAAGGACGCTACTAGGGGCTCCTGGCCGTACTACTAGGAGCAAGAAGCTATTGGTAACAAGAGGAAGAAGGGTATTCATTACTGTCACGATCGCACCCAGGCGCGATGTGCTGCCTTTGGGGCTCCAATGTGCTATGGGGCTGCTGAGGAGCACCAGCTTCGGGTTCACAGATGGGATCTACAGCTCCGAGTTCCAAGATATCAAACCTTTAAAGCGCTTTAAAGGGATCATTATTGGATCCCTGGTTCACATATGTTCACATTGGTTTCAGAAAAAATATGGAAGCCATGAAACTGTTGGATCAGAAATGCGGGGAAGAATGCTTTGTCAGGCTGCAACCATTCGGGGGTCGAGGTTTTCTCACAGCCATGCTAGGTAACCCCTCTAGGCACGGCCCAGGGCTTCAATCATGACCTGGAATTCAAGCTGAAACTCAAGAAGACTCATTGACGTTCATTGACCCTCATTGGAGTTCATTGAGCTTCATTGGTTTTCATTGGCGCTTGATGTGTTTTCTTGGTCAGAGGAGACGTGTCCCCCGAGTTTTTCAGGCTATACTTGCTTTTTGGTAAGTGGAATGCGGGCCATGTGGGGCCCATGCTGGGCCCAAACTCTTTCAGTTCTGCGAAGCATAATTTACCCTTGATGAGCATTGCTCAGTGGTTTCCACTTGCAGGGCTCTGATCTCCGAGAGGACGGTGCAGTGCTTTTCTTGTGACAGGTTGCTTTCCCAAAAATACATTGCCATTGCTGCCATTGCTGTTGCTTTGCATTGATCTTGAGGATCTAACAAGCTTCATGTATGACAGAACAGTTCTGGACTTGGAACCAAGCTCAAGAAGATTGGTTGGCTTTGGATCATATTCAGGCGGTCTACGTCAATGCTGGGGATCCTGCACCGCGCTTGTGGTTAAGAGCTTAGCAAATCGGAGCTACCAAGTGTTGAAAGCGTTCCTATGAGGTCTGAATTGGATTTGGAGGACTTCATGAGGCAGTTGATACACAATTTGTTGTCAGGCAAAAGAAGTTGGGAACAAACGGTACCAGTTTTTTGTGCACATGTGGATTGTGACGACATGTTATGTTGGCTGGCTTCAGTCGTGTGTCAAGCTCCAGCCTGATGAGCAAAGTTGGCGACATGACATTGGAACACTCAGGTATGCGATCTCATGGTTTCAGGGCAAGGTGGGTTTCTCTTTGTCATGTCGTGCTTCTTTGTTTTTGTCCTACATTCCAGAGGTGTCCAGCTTCTCCATGCGAATCTTGGACTACGCCGCAGGTGGTTTGGCTCAGAAGGCCCAGGACGGCGTGCAGCGCCTTGCCAAAGTTGATGCAAACATGACTTGTCAATGCAATTATGAAAGTATATGAAAGTGTATCGATGAGATTCCTCCAACAGGATATTCTAAAGCGCCCAGACATTGAGAAACATTTGTTCCTGGCTCAGCGAGCAGAGTAGCGAGCAGTAAGATGGCCAGACCCTTGTACACATCTTCCCCTAGGGGCTCTTGGCCTTACTACTAGGAGCAAGGACGCTACCAGGGGCCCCTGGCATCGCTACTAGGAACAAGAAGCTACTAGGGGCTCCTGGCCTTACTACTAGGAGCAAGGACGCTACGAACGGGGCTCTTACCGCAGTGCTTGGAGGTTGCGCCCTGCAGCTCGGTACGTCCACTTGTCTCAGATCCGAGTTCTTGCGAAGGAGTGGACTCAATGCGAAAGCTAACAAACAGATCACTCAACGGAAAGCCTCTCGATATGTTCACATGTTCTCACGGCGTCACTGACAGGATTTTATTCTTTGGAGACCTCTGAACTATGGGCGTGCCTTTACCAAAGAATAATTGTGCTACAACCTTTGGAACAGCATGGAACAGCAACAGTTGTCTTCACGCTTTGATCTTGACATTCCCTTGGCAGGTTTTGTTTTTTGAACAACATCCTTTAGACTTACCATGACATACCCTTTTGATCCCTTTTGTAGCCGATGTGGGTAGCTCATCGATGAGGCATGAACATTGACGACCACAGCCTTTCTTCTGGATACATGCCTGCACTCTGCGCATTCCTTGGCAGTTGGGAGCCGCCGTATTCCAAAGTAATGTCAGCAGTATGTTTGTAATATTCTATTCGTAGATAAACTGAGACCAAGAAGCTAGTAGTAACAAGTGCCACGCTACTAGGAACAAGTGCCTTACTGGTAGTAACAATGTTTGCTATTAGACTTCAGGTGCTGCCTTTGATCCGATCGCCGCCGGCGGTCTGTGGGATGAGAATGGCCAATCGCTTATTGATGAGGCAAGCTTCTTGTTACTACTAGTATGGCACTTGTTACTACTAGCGTGGCACTTGTTTCTAATAGCTTCTCAAAGGCTCCAATTGATTCAAGGACATTGACATTTGTGTTCCACGAGTTCTTCCCGCGGTCCGAGACAGCCCGGTCCGTCTAACACGGTCGCAGGCCGGCCATGGTCTAGTTTGAGTGTCCCGGACAGCTAAACATCGGCTTCATCTCTCTTGACGGCTTCCAGAACGTGGACAACAATGAATGACAAGTCTCGACGAATGAAGACAAGTCTTGAACGTTGGATTCTTTGTTAGATGATAGATGTGGACCACGTGCTCATCGGAACCTGAACATCTTCGCACCTGCGGCGCAGTAGCTGTTCATCGGGCATATCGGGCATTTCTTGGTGCAAAAAGTATGTGTCTGGCCACCAGTCTTCTGCGCATTCAGGAACTCGCAGACTTGTGTGTCTTCCTTGGTATCTTGCTGGGTATGCCCAGCCAGAGTGCAATAAATGGCTCCAGTAAAAGAGGCAGCTTATGATGTCATTCGCAGATTTTTGGACATACCATATGGCATACAGGAAGATGAAAAGGAAAATGTGAGAAAGCTGCATAAAGCCAAGGGCTTTTCTTTCGCATGTCCTCAAAGTCTCAGCATATCGGACTCTCATTTTAACCGTTTCACCTTCACAACATGACCTTGAGGGTGCCATGGCTCACACAGCCTTCAAGGCACATGCGCAGACATCAGGAAGATGAGCATAGCTTTTCAGCTTGGCAAACCTTCCAATCTGCTTGGTGCATCCTTTGCAGGTATGGCCTGCTCAGCCTTTGTAGGACGAGGTCACAGCCAGATGATACGTACTTTGAATATCTTTGAATTGGACACACCCTGGTACAGAAGCCTCCGAGTCACAGGTTCCTTGTCCATTTATGTTATTTTATTTGCTCAGCCAGCCAACTCTCTACTGCATGTTCAACGTGATCAAATGAACTTCTGCTTCAGAAAGACATGCTCGCCATACAACACACATGCTCCCAATCAAGAGCCCAGCATCACAGAAGGCACCAGAATTACGAAACACTGTCGCCCTTCCGCAAAGGCCTTCGTTGTTTGGGACAGGCGCTACACCACTGACACTGTATATTAAACATTGTGACTGATGGAATGTCTTGACTTTTTGTTTTGATTGATAAAGTCCATTGTGACACCTTCAGGGCTTACAATATCACCTATTCGTTACAGTATCTTGGCTTGGCATTTCAGCAAAGGTCGCACACGTTTGTTGGATTTTGACGTGCGAGCTGCCCGCCTCAATATTTCACCAGGTCACAAGTTTGCCACCCCACCCAGTCCAAATCTGGAGAAGTTGCCTGGAACCCATTTGCCAGCATCTGTGCAAAGGAACAGTAGAGAGTTTGTTCATGCTAAACCTCGGTGCTTGTGTTTCCTGAGGCGACAGATTTACACTGTGAAGTTAGTGCCCTTACACTTCTATTTGAGGACCGGAGCATATTCATTCAAGCAAAGACAAATCGGACCATGCGCCGTATCGTTTCAACAGGAATAACCTCCACGTGGGCAGTGGCTATGCCGGAATCTCAGTTTTCCTATTCAATTTGAGTCTCTGATCATTTCTGCATTGGTTCAACATGTTCAAAGTGGACTTTAGCTCTATTTGTTTGTTTGTTTGCTGTGCATATCTTTGGCACAGTGACCAACACTGAGATTTGGGATGAATTTTTCATCGGCATAATGTGCTCTCCAAAGTTTGAGGGCAAAACGCACAAGGACCATCTTGGTGTGACAATGTGCGATGAGTGACAACTCCTTGATTCTGATGAAAGATCGTTGTCAAGGAGATGAATCAGATGGTGGAAGATTTGGCGGCTGAGGTGATCTAACTGAGGATTCGAAAGGTTCCAGTTCCGGACGTCCAGTCGAGAAGTGACTGAGGTCGGGATGTCGGGTCGAGTGCGAATGATATGTCGAAAGCTTACTCAAGCTCATCACAAGTGATTGGCATTTCGGACTCCTGTGCGCACCAAGGCCAACCACCTTCCCGATGGCACATGATGAGGCGGCGGACGCGAAAGAGGTGGGACTTTGACAGATAGATCCTCTTGGGGATGAAAAAGGCGTGAGGCAGCACATGGCGCGACCACACAGCACGTCAAGTTCTGAATGGGTGGGGGAATGATACGCAACGCATTCATGGCAAGAAGAAAGGGTTTAGAGTTGTCAACGGCGCTGAAAGTCTGAACATCGGGAGTGTGGTTCAGTTCTGCGGCACTCAAAATCTCCTAATCTTCCCCATCAATTCACTGTTTGGTCACCTGTCACGGTGGACAGAGACACCACGCTGTGGAGCAAAGTCACTCAGTGGTTTCGTAGATCTCTCAAAGAAAGTTAAGGAAGGAAGAAGAGCGACTCAGATTATATAACGGACAATTAAAGTGTGAAACCGTGAAACTAGGCCAACTAGGCGTCTTGAAGCAAGTCCTATTTCTGCAAAGTTATTCCACTTCTTCTCGCAATGCGCGAAGAGTGTCTCAAAATGTTTTACAGAATTTTGTGCTATCTAACAGCTCCTTGCTTCTCGTGCTAAAAGGAGCAAAGATTGACATGGTTGTAGCTGTTTCCAGCCAATTTGCCACCGGGCGTTCCACGACACTGCTTGAGACTTGGCTGAGCCATAGAGACAGTTGCTCCAGCCAAAGGCTCCATCATGTTTTGGAGCACAGTTTCTCTTGAGTGCGTGCCACCAAGGAAGATCCAAATACACCTAGTAAGACATCATGATGCTACTTGGTGGATTTTGTGAGATTGCAAATGGAATTCACACACCCAAGGAAATACAAGGGCAGGATTTGTGCCTTCACCAGAATCCAAGAATTTCTGGGATGCACTTTTGATTGCACAAGTGAGTCCAGTGGAGAGTAATAAGTACCCGTGGAGAATTGCTGAACTTCCCAAGAAGCTTGTCTATCTATTTACCTCGCTGCCATCAAGCAGGGCACCCAAACCACAGGAATACGTTTAATGCATACAGAAATGTCGCTGATACTTCGGCTATGGTAGTTCGTTTTGGTGCGCTTTTATCATGTCTATGAAGCTCCATGTTTTGTTTCCAAAGCTTGGATACTAGTAGCGATGCGCTTTGTTATATACTACTGTAGTAGCTTCTTGCTCCTGGTAGCTTGGGGCCTGCAAGAGCCTGAGCTAATCTGAGGGGTTGGATACAGTATAGGCTTAGGACCTCCCGGGATAGAGTCTTAGGATAAGTGAATACAGGCTATACTCAAAGCATGCGTGGAGCATAGCGCACGCCAATGAGCTTCCCCCCAAACATTTTGCTCACAAGACCAACAGGTCAGAAATGATTGCGACCGAAAACGAGGACCGAAGGATCTAAAAAGGATATACAAGGTGTCAAGTATAGATAATAGTGGATAGTGTGATTCACCAAGTTCTGCCCACACACCGCCCAAGCTGCATAGCTA